TGGGAAATATCACTGGGTTTTGTTTGGGAGCTCAAGATGGGAATGTGACGACTACAAATATGGGGCAGAATATTTTGGATTGTCCATAGGTGACTTCTGGAGGGTTTTTATTCGTTAAGGTCAAATGCAACTAGTAACTGAACAGTTCTCATTGTCTGGAAAAAAATTCAATGGCTGACCAAGATCAGTGTCACGTTTTGTCGTTTTTTATCCTTTTGTTGCTAAAGCAAGCCTCCACTGCTAAAATAAACTGTTATTAGAACTATCGGGATAAAAACTATGGGCAATTTTTGGCATGTTGAAATGATGATACTTGAACCCCGATGCAACCGTAGTTTAGTCATAATTATAGTTAGTTCAATAATTATTATCTGTAGTAATTGTTTTGGAAATGGTGAAATGACTGAGTGGAGTCCAATTCGGTCTGTAATCATAAGAGTGAGTAGCCAAGTTATGGAAGAAAGAGAAATTTACATTAAAAGACTGACAAAGGAGGCGTAAATTGTTCAACTGTTTGATATAATTGATTGATTTAAACTACAACTTTGAACGTGATTGGCTTATTGAACTGTCTGATAACAGTGCTTTGACGAAGAGCTAAGGCTCGAAACGTCAGCTTTTAAACTCTTTACGGTGTCAAATTTACGTTATCAACTCAGTTGATAATACTTAATAACCCTGTTCGATAACAACTTGTCAGTTGGTGGAAAATAGGTTTTTTTTAACTTGTTACAATCGAAGAAATTACAATTAATTCTGTTATTGGCCTGTTTAACGGCTTCTTGACAAGCGAAAGTCGTCTTAATTGCGACACAGAAGCGAGATGATAAGGTTATGATTTCTCCTGAACGAAATCCAATATGTAATTTATTAATGGTAGTAATTATTTTTACGGGAATCAAGTTAACGTGCAAAATATTCCTTGAGCCTCAGAAATATCTTTTTGTAATATTTTCGAAAATTGCTTGTCATTCTAAGTCATGGCACAACTAATTCATTAATGAAAAAGTTCCTGTCATCAAAAACTAACATCTAGAACTAAAGCTTGACTTTGTTCTGTTCCACTGGTTGTGAAGCCTTAAGAATGACTTTAAAAAACTTATTGATAGGTAACAGTAACAGCTGGAAACGAGCCTCGCGTACATAGATACGTTTTGATATAGTTTTTAAAACTCCCTTCAGTCGATAGTCCCCAGCCTTTAAATTTGCAAAACTTAGGTTAGACCAAACGTTTTTCTCTTTTGATTTCTGTTTTCTTTTTCTCTTTAGTTTTTAATTTTTGTCGCCCACAGGTGAACCTTTTTACACGATGTACGATTTTTTGAAAGCTACATTTATTATCTCTATATATTTATTTTTTTCAAAAACATCGTGAGTTTTATTTTCCGATATAACAAACGCTTAATAAGTTTTTTAGCCACGCTGACAACATGACATCAAAAATTATCCCTTAGGGGTCTCAGAGCTCTATCGTAATTAATAAACCAAAAGATATAACCAACTTCAGTTAATATCCTGAGATAATAGCACTGAGTCAAGCCAATAACTACTTTCTTTACTGTTTTCTACCTGCTGTGGTAAAGGTAGAAGAGAAGTAATCATTTTATTTCACCGAAAAGAAAAGCTTACAATAAGCTTATCATAATGGCGACACGGAAACCGCGCTTCTCCTTTCCACCTGCGCTTGATATAAAAATGCAAGAAATAGTTTTTCACGTATCTGGATCTAAATTGGGATTTTGAATTCCATTTGCTTGTAACCTTTCCAAGTTTATCAAAGTTAAAACACAACAGCGTCTATTCAAAAAACAAATTAAACCGTTTCCAATAGAATCCCTCACATCCAAAAAAGATCCCCCCCTGTAAGGAAGACGAACGATGGCTATTTATCTATTAGGAGTTTATCCGTGGTATGATATATTTCCCTCGTAAACATCAATTCAGCTCCAGTTAGCCATAAAACACAACAGCCTCCAGTGGGAGAAAAATTTAATTGTCTACCATGGCATCACACTGATCCAACAAGGATGCACCACTTCATCAGCTATCACGTTGTCCTATGTGCTACTG